GATTGGCACAGGACAGAGCGGAGTTTAGGGCTGTTGTACATAGGGTCACTATGAGTTGCAGGCGACTCGATGGCACATAACAACAACAACAACATTATTAATTTCAATGAAAATTTACAGAGACTTTGGATTTCCATTCATTCATTGTTGCACTTTACTCCCCTCCCAACCCTCTCCCCTAGTACACTACCCTCTTGGAAAAGTAAAAGAAAAAGTTCTTTCATTGTTTTACAAACCCTCCCCTAGGTCCACTCCCCTATGCAGCCTTCCTTCTGGACTCCTGTCATGACAAAAATACCTAATCACATATCCCTTTTTAACTGTTTTCTCCCTCTTCTGTTTCAATGCAGTATACATTATTGAACCCATCTTTCTCAGTCTCCCCCCAACCCCAATGTCAGTCCTGTTTTACAACAGTGGCACCATGTAGCATATGTCCTTTTGTGACTGAAGTACTTTATTCAGCATTATATCTTCCAAAGTCACCCATTTTTAATAATATTTCATGAGTTCCCTGCTTTTCAGTGCAGCATAGTATTCCATTGTGTGAATATACCACAGCTTCTCTATCCATTCGCTTGTTGATGGGCGCTTAGGTTCTTTCCAACTCCTTGCTATTGTGAACAAAGCCGTGATAAACATGGGTGTGCATATATCTGCTTGGATGTCAGTCATGGTCTCTTTGGGGTATATTCCCAGTAGTGGGATTGCTGGGTCAAGTGGTATCTCTATTTGCAACTTTTTGAGAAAGTGCCATACTGCCTTCCACAGTGGTTGCACCATTTTACACTCCCACCAACAGTGAATAAGGGTTCCAGTTTCTCCACAACTTTGCCAGCATTTGTTGCTTGCTGTTCTGTTAAAGTTTGCTATTCTTATTGGGGTGAGGTGATATCTCATAGTTGTTTTAATTTGCATCTTTCTTAGAGATAGGGATTTTGAATATTTCTTCATGTGCTCAGTAGCTATCTGAATATCTTCTTTGGTGAAGTGTCTGTTCATATCCTCTGCCCATTTTTCAGTTGGATTATGTACCTTTATCTTGCTGTGGTGAATATGTGTCTTTGTTTTGACCTACATTTTTAATTTGCTTTAGCTTTCTTACAATTCTATAATTCAGAATTACTGGATAGTCTTAAATTTCCCATATTTTTGGTGCCATTTCCTCCTAGTTGTATTGACATTTGCCCTTTTTATTATTGAATATTTTTAACTAAATTTTTTTTAATTATTCGTGTGTGTGC